ACTATAACAACTCTAACTACTATTATTACTACCTGCCCTACACATCGTAATTGCCCCTTCAAGTGTCTCAGCTGCCCCAGTGAATCCAGTTGCATGCACGTACTGTATTCCTTCTATCCCAGAAATCCTCTTTAACTCCTCTCCTTCTTTCCCTCTCCACTCCTTCTTCAGTGGCCTCTTTGACTCAAACTGCTTCCCCCTCTTAGTAAAGCAGTAGATGACGTACTTCTCCCTCCTAGGCAGTATCATGTAATCCAAGTTGAACTCGTACATTTCCTCCACATCCTTGATCAACTGCGTATCATAGGCATCTTCTGCTACATAAATGTTCGTACTCCTCAATCTGCTCATTTCGGTGTAAACCACCTCCAGTTTCGGAACGTACCTCCCACACAGGTTGTCAAGGTAGTTCACCAAGTCAGCCCGTACCACAGCAAGGGCCTCGTGGAATCGACTGTCCTGTTTCTGGTGGTAGTTGGCCGTGCCACCATTCGTGTTGTACGAGCCAACGACATCCTGAATTGATCTCACCCTAATTCCACCAGGGAGTTCATATCCGTTATCAATTGCATCTGCTGGTAGAAAGATGTCCCTGTACACTTTATCGACGATGAAGTCGTAGAGGGTGTCACTGAGCAGCCGCCTCACTCCCCTCTTCTCAAGCACATCGGTGCCAAAGTACTTGTAGATCAGTCCAGCACTAGACAACTTGATGTCGTATTTCGGACTGAATGTCTCATTGAACCAGCCCATGTGGTGGTCGTACCTGTTTGCTGCCGGATCACAAACGAATCCGACGTCGTAGACGATGTCGCCAGTCTCAATGACGGCCTTATCCCTCGTTCTGATCAGTCTGAAGTTGGGAAACAGTTCCATTAGGAAGGCAGTGGCCAGGATCTCATCACCGTGGAACGTGTCAGAATGAGTTACAAGGAGAGGACGCTTCTTGAAAATGGATCCACGTGGTTTCATAGGGTAAAAAAGAATAAACTGCTTAAGGTGAGTCAAATATTAAAGTGAGTAGAATGTTTTAAAGTGACTCCATTCAATAGAGTAAACTCTTTTAGATAACTCTATTAATAACTCTTTTAGATAACTCTTTTGATAACTCTATTGGTTTTACTTGTAGAACTCCCTGTTTTCACTACACATCCATATTCTGATTTTGAAGTGCTTAAACAGCTCCTTCACCAGCTCCCTGAAGTCAATTCGCTTCGTGCTTCTATAGTAGAACGTAATACGCTTTGAGTCAGACTGGTACTCGCACTTGGTGATCTCCATGTCGACGGAGTAGACGTCCTTGATGTGGTTCAGGTATTCGAGGGCCATTCTCTCCTGCTGCCTCCTCTCGTGGAGACGCTCCACCTCTGACGAGGTGGCTGGTCGCAGAATCCTCTTTGGCTCCGCGTGCTGGTAGTTGGTGGCAAAGAACGCCCTTGTTGAGGCGTGCCTGTAATTCAGCCTATCAAAATATTCTGATAGAAATAGTTGGGCATACGACTGGGTTGAATTGGGCAGATTCTCCTTCTCGCCCTCAGAGAGGACGTCGACGACCAGTCCCACGTCCTCGCCCCTGTCTGCCTCCACCACGACCATCACGTTCCTCCCGTAGTCAGTCGAACTCATTCCAACCAGTGTTCTCCCACTTTCAAACACAATCAGGTATTCTCTACTGTTTCGTATATCACTTCTTATGCTATTTGAACTATTTGTGCAGATTGTTGCTTCCTCAGTTTCCTGGTCGACTGGCTCCGGTGCTGCGCCAGGAGTCTCCTCCTCCGCCCACTGCTCGCTGGTCTCAACCCAGATGCCACCATCAAAAGGAAGAAGTCTGTCTTGCACCATTGCTGGCTTGTCTATGTTCAGAGATCGTCTTCTATTTTTGTGTGACATGGGCTAAAAGAATTATGAGAAATAATAGCACAAAAATAATAGCACAAAAAATAATAGCACAAAAAATAATAGCACAAAAGAATGTTGTAGGTGATTAGGTAGGTAGTTGATTAGATAGGGTAGTAAATTACAATATCACAATATTATACTAACCACCTTAACTAACGGCACTAATTGTGCTCCTAATTTGTTTGCCTCGTATTACCCCTTATGCTAACAAATCTATTCAGATTCCTGGGAGACGCCCTGATGGTCATCAGCAGGGTCTTCCTGCTCCACAAGGTGTGGAATTCAAGGAGTGTCTCCGGGCTGAGTCTCAAGACGCAGGCTGTCTATCTCCTGGTCTACCTCTGCAGATACGTGGATATCAGACGCATCAAATACGTCAATCGATCCCTAGGCCGTCTGGCCATAAACTACCTCCAGATCTACAATACGACATTCAAGATCTTCCTCACCGCCTATCAACTCTACGTCTGCTACCTCATTGGAATCAGGTACAGAAAGAGCTACTACGGCAGATTCGACAGCTTCCCAATCACCGTTCTGGTTGGAGCAAGCTGTCTGATTGCCCTGATCATCAGCTCCCGCCTCTTCTTCATTGAAGACTTCCTCTACACCCTCAGTCTCATTCTCGAGGCCGTTGCCATTCTGCCGCAGCTTGTGATGACCCAGGAGAGCGAGGACTGCGAGTCGATGACTTCAAAGTACATCTTCTTCCTTGGTCTCTATAGGCTGAATTACCTCATCTATTTTGTGATACGCAAAATGGCAGGTGAGACTGTTGATATGCTGATGATATTCACGAGTCTGATTCAGACTGCTTTGTATGTTGATTTCTTCAAGGTCTATTACAACTACTGTATTAACAAGGGAAACAACTTCAAGAGTATGATAAAGAATTGATAACATAATTATTAGTAAAGTTGTGAATAGTGTGGTGTATATAGAAGGGTGTAAGTAGATATGTAGGTAGATATGTAGGTAGTTAGATAGTAACTTTCTATATACAATTCTACCTATAAATTGATTGGTCTCTCATCAGCCTCTAATTATCGTGTTCTACCATTTATAATCCACTTACCTGCCTAAATTTCCCCCTTAATATGCTCAAGTTACTTGGATTCACTCTTGTCATCGTGTCAAAACTACTCGTATTCAGAAAGATGCGACGGATGCAGACAGTGAGCGGAATCAGCCTCAAGTCAAACACTTGCATGCTCATTGGATACGTCCTCCAGTTCTCAAACCCAAAGGAGTGGTCAGACGTCTCCCTCTACCACCTGAGCAGCAATCTGTGCAAAATAGCAATGTTGGAGTACCAGATCGGAATAATTGTGCTGATTCTATTCAAATACAACAAGACGTACGATAAACAGGCTGATAAAATGTCAATTTGGATTCTGATGCTCATTTCCCTAGGAATTGGATTATTGGGCAGTATAAGACGGGGTGGATTCATCGAAGCATTCTGGTGCGTGGGAGTGGTGCTGGAGTCACTGAGCGTGATTCCACAGCTTGTGATGATGCAGGAGAGTGGAGACTGTGAGTCAATGAATGGCAGAATACTCTTCTACTACTCAACTGGTAAGACACTGAACCTGGTGGATGACATTGGTCGAGGCAGAGTATTCAACAGTCTGATTGGGCTATTTGGACTGGCTCTGGTGGCTGATTTCATCAGAGTCTACTACAAACACATACGCGTGAACATAGAGGAGAAGTTTAGAAGACAAAAATGATAAAATAATCACCCTTTATGTTTAGTACCCTATTTGGAACAATTTCATGTGTACCAGACACGTACAGCAACGCTGTCTCGAAGCTAAGTAGCCTCGTAAGCAGGTTCACAGACAGATACCTGGACAAGAGGGTCATTGATTCCGTTGATCCATTTCAGAATGTGCTGCTGATGAGTTGGATCAGTGTAGTCTGTGCTACTGTGGTTGTTGTTCTATTCTTTATTCTGAACATAAAGCAGCATTTTATACCAGAAAGACACCAAGTGAAGGATGAGGGAAACCAGGCATCACCAGGCACTTTTCCTAAAAAGTGCAAAACAATCCAGTTCAAGAACCTATGACAGGTGGATGAATCCATTCTGACTATGCTAGTTGCATACGTCCTACACCACTAATAATACCAGTATCATCACCAACCAATAGTCTATTTCTCACCTTATTGATCAAATTGAGTTATTTTTCCCGCCCCCTTTTAATAATGGACAAACTCACAGTGGTCTCAGAACTGTTCTGTAACGCAGCAGAATGGCTACTAATTGCATCAAGAATAATCATAATAAGGAAGGTGCTCAAGACCAAGAGTGTCTCGGGCCTCAGTCTCAAGACAAACGTCCTCTACCTCATCACGTACTGTCTCCGGTATCTCCACCTTCGCCACTGGTTCAAATACTCCTGGAAGATCGTCTACTCAAACGTGATCAAGACGGCCTTTCTCTTCTACCAGTTTGCAATGGTCTTTCTCATCTTCTTCCGCTTCAGAAAGAGCTACTACCGAAGACACGACTCATTTCCAATCACGGTCATTCTCGTTGTTGCCGCCCTGGCTGGGTTTCTGGCTACCAGAAACACCTACTGGAACTACTACGAGGATCTCTGCTACAACATCAGTTTGGCACTGGAGGCCGTTGCCATTCTGCCGCAGCTTGTGATGACCCAGGAGAGCGAGGACTGCGAGTCGATGACTTCCAAGTACATTCTGACTCTTGGGCTCTACAGGTTCTGCTACTTCGTCCATTTTGTGATTCTGAGGTGGCAGAAGCGGTACATCGAAATGTTCATGATCGTCACTGCCCTGGTTCAGACTGGGCTCTATTTGGACTTCTTCTACGTCTACTACGCCTACGTATTCAACAACAAGGAGGCTGGGCTGAACTTGGAGAAGGCAGGTGCCAAGGACACGGTCAGCGAGAGGCCAAAGAACGCGTTTGATTTTACTAAGGCAATTTGAATAAATAGACTGGTGGTGTTCTAGGGGTAGTTATGCATTTGACTCGTAGATGTGAAACAGCCACATTTTTACCCATGAACTCGTATGCGCCAAAATCACAGACAACGAAGGAGATCGAGGCCACTGAGGTGCCAAATGCGCCAGAGGACACCGTCAGTGACATCTCCCTCGCTGATTCCCTCATGGCCGTCTCCAGTTGGGACGGATGTGTCCGCATCTACAAAAAAAACCATCTCGGCGGATTCGAACCCCTCAAAATTTACGAAAACTTGGGAGCTCCAGTTCTTTCAGTCTGTCTCATTGGAGAGGCATTCGTGGTAGCAGGCCTCGTAGACGGAAATATCGTAGCAGTTGACATGCGCAGTGAAGGAGTACGGAAGACAATCAAGGCGCACGATAACTCGGTGAAGGCAGTCCGCCTCATGAACAACTTCGTAGTCACTGCCTCATTTGATGGATTCTACAAAATATTCGATTCGGAATTCAAGGAGGTGCATTCTGTGAACATGCAGTCCAAGATTTATTGTATGGATTGCGTTGGCGAGTACCTGGCACTTGGTCTCAGGAACAAGAAGGCCGTTCTGGTGAATTTGGCAACCAACAAGTCTGAGGAGTTTATGACGTCATTTGAGTACGCGATCAGGTCGATTGCGATAAGTCCGACTCGATTTGGAGTCGACATTGCTGTTGGATCGGTAGAAGGGAAGATCCAGGTCTTCAACACGAACACCAAGAGCTCCTTCACGATGAGACAGCACAGACAGGACGAGAAGCTGTACAGCGTGAATCAGATCAGATTTCTGGACGAGAACATGCTGCTGAGTGGTGGATCCGATGGATTCGTCTACGTGATCAACAAGGCCACGAAGTACAAAATGGCAGGGGCGAAGTATTCGGCACCAATCACGGCCATGGTGGTTCAAAACAGGAAGGTGGCATTTGCAGTTGGAGATGACTGGTCCAAGGGCTTCCAGCAGCAGTATACGAGACCAGAGATCAAGATCAGCGACCTACAGAGACTGTAATAAAGGTGATTTATGAAGTAGCATTTTGTGGAAGTGGCGACTAGCTCCTTCTGAATCCCTGGCTTCCAAATCCGTGGCAATTTGTCATTTTCATTTTGTCCTGGTGGAGAATCTTCCCATTTTCCAGGTAGAGACTGACGCCATCAGTCAGCACGTTTCGGTGCCTGTTTTGCTCCATATGTCTCACTAACTCCCCCTGTGTCACGAAACCATCCTTGCAAATGAAGCAGATTCCACTGAATACGAAGCTAATTTGCTCTGAATCGAGTCCATGCATTTTGTGGTAGTGAACTGGTGTCCCAGTCTCAGGGCAGAAGATGCAGGTCGCCCTCTCATTGGCCAAATTCACCGTAATTCCAGCGTGGATGTCCAGGCCCCTTCTGCTCAGCGACTCGAATTCACCAGAGTCGCTTCCTCTCAAAGAGACCTCGTCTGAAGACGAGCAGCTCTCGCAGTCCGCGTATGCGATTGGCTCCTCCCCTCTGCACTTCCGCATGCTGTTTAGGACGTGCATCTCCGTCTTGTAGTGCTCTGTGTCCTCAATGGTGCGATTGCACGATGTGCAGAATAACATTGTTTTGGGGTGTTTGCTTCCAATCAACACCCTAAAACACCCCTGTTTATTTTCGACTGTTTTATTTCAGGATGATTCTACTAGGACACCTGAGACTGGTTCTGGGGCTCAGGCTTCTGGGGCTACCGCGACTGAAGCAGATGGCTGGCCAGTTTGTGTCAAACAGGGGCGGATGTCTGCTATTTTCGGGAAACAGGGCTGATATTGATAAAATGCATACAGTGATCCATAAGAGAAAATTGTACTTTTTCACTGATGGAGAGTACTACACTTTCAGACTCAACAGTGATCAGACTACAGTTGGATTGGCACAGAAGAACGAGATGAAGAAGGTGGAGAACTACACGTGGCAGAAGGAGCCAGGAGAAGAAGAAGGAGAGGAGGAGTCAAAGACGGTGCATTTCATGGATTTGCAGCCAAAGAAGAAGGAAAACAGTGGTGGACTATTCGACAACATCGGTGATGGGAAACTGGGACGAAGCAAGGGAATTGGGACGCTGACTACGACGATATCAAGAGAAGAAGGGGAGAGTAGCAAGGTGCCAAATTACGGGGTGAAAGAGGCTAAAAATACCAAAAAGAAGGAGGAGAAGGCTAGGGCCAATATGAATGTGCAAAGAGAAGAGGTAGAAAATGAGGGAATTAAAACAGGAAGGGACATCGAGTCAGATGACTACGATTCGATGGCACCGGGGCAGTTTGACCTGTCAGTCAGCACCATCGACTACCACGACAGGACATTCAGTCTCAAGAAGGGCGAATTGTGTCTGGCCTACTTCAAGGAGAGCTTCATTCTCACAGGATGCAACACGGGTGCCCAGAATCAGGTATTTGGGGTTGTGGACGTGAAGGAGGGAACAAGGAGAATGACAGAATGCATGAAGCACGATAGAAAGATACCAGAAAGAACAAAGAGGGAGAATCCAGGCGTAGGAAGGAGCCAGGTTGAACAGACAGCAGCAAAGCAGGCAAGAGTGCTACTTGGGGCAGCAAAGAACTCAAATATGGCAGGAAGTGGGACTCGTGTATCACTGACGCAGCCAATTGACCAGGAGGATCTTCTTCCTGAGGCAGAGGCACAGAAGCACGACGTGGTTGGCGTCCTCGACAACATCACCAGGCTTCTGGACACCGAGTTGCGTTGAATGTGATGGAAATCAGTTGAAAATAAAGTGCCTTTTGGTGCCCAATTTATGGACAAAAAAAGAAAGTTCTCCTACAAGTCGTATCCAGTCACACACGTCCTGAAGGTGCAAGAACGGGCAAAGAAGTACGCAGAGCCAATCGACAGACTCAATGAGGAGCTGCTTGGCGTCTACGACCGCGTGGTTCTCGACCAGGCTGAGAAGATGCTTCGTGAAGAGGTCTTTCAGAAGCTGAAGAGTGTCCTGGAACGAGAGTTTGCTGAAAACAGTATCAAAGTTGAGAAATATGGCTCATTTATGACTGATATGATGGTAGGGAAGTCGGACATCGACGTGACTGTGCTCTATGAGCAAGAAGGCGACCTGAAGTATCGAACAGCAAATGACGTCCTTAGGGAGATCTTCAAGGTGCTCCTGAAGCACGACTTCTGCGATGGTGAGATCATTCACCTGAAGAAGGCGCGTATTCCAATTCTAAAGTGCACTGATAAAAAGTACAAAATAAAAATAGATATCAGCGTAAATCAAAAAGACGGATTGGTATCAGGGGAGTTTATGAAGAAGAAAAAGGAAGAGATTCGTGACATCGAGTACATGGCTGTCCTACTGAAGTATTTCATGAAGAGAAGATGCCTGAGTGAGACACACAGTGGTGGCTTGAGTGCGTATGCTCAGTTTCTGCTCATTCTCAACTTCCTACAGCTTCATCCTCTGACTGAATCATCCAGCATCAAACAGAATCTGGGCGCGTTTATGATGGACTTCTTCATGTACTACGCGCATATCGACTTCAGAAGAGCAGTTGTGAACGTGAAGGATGGGAAGTACAGGAAGAATGAGTCTGGATTCTGCATATTCATAGACGATCCGATATGCGACGACTTCAGCAACGTGACACCAAATTGCAGTCAAATTGGCAGAATTCAGGATTTGTTCAGGAAATGCTACAAGACGATGGCAGAGGCATTGAAGTCGCGCGTAGACAGAAGAATCCTCAACGACATCTGGTTCAAGTTCAACCAGAAGGAGTTGCAGCAGAGAAGCGACAACGTGAAACTGTACAAGAAAAAGAAGAATGTCTGAGAATTGAACTTGCATAAATAGGAGACTAAAAATATCGCAGAGTTCCCTGAATCAGGAACGACAGCTTTGGCAACTTGGGCTGGACACTGAGCATTTTGCCCGATGACTCGTCCAAACAGACCAGAAACCCCACAACTGGGCTCGTGGCCACATCGTCTCGTTCCTTCGCCTCTGAAATGGCCAACACCGCATTTTCAACCAATTCGACCTCTTCGACGCCGACTACGCCCACCTTACGCGTGGCACCGAGTGGCAATGCCGTATCTGGTGCCACGAACTCCTCTCCGATCTTCACTGCTGTGAATGCGCCTGATTTCCCTAGAACAATTTTGCTAGGCGTGTACACATTTTTCAGGGCCATGTTGTTGTTGACTTCAACCAACTCCTCACCCTCAAAGTATCGCTTGATCGACCTCGACACCTTGTTCTCCTCGACGTAGCCGCTGTTCTGGACGAAGTCGACTTCAACTTCCAGGCCTCGCTGCCTGATTCGGCTGTAGAGTCTCTCGTTCTTGGAAACAACTATGCGAGTTACTCCAAACAACTCCACCATTTTATCCAGCATCCCGAAGTCAGTGAACGGACCAAGAAGAACGCTGCCAGAGACCGTCTTATCCTGAAGCAGCTCCTTGTTCTTCTCAGCCAGCACACGAAGCTGTAACTCGTACAATTCGGTATTCTCAATTTCCCTAGAGCCGTAATACAAACAAAATGGCGTATTAAGCTTAAAGTTCCCAAATGAAATGGTGTTTATGCGAGAGGTAGAAATTGTACCAGGAAACACGTTACCACGAGACGTGTCTGTTTCGGTGAATAGCACCGTCTTGTGGTCTCTCACGAAGTAGTTGCAGAGTGTGAGTGCCAGCGTGCTGCGTCCATCTCCCAGAACGAGCACATTTTCACCTGGCCTTATTTTGCTGAAAATGTCGTATATTTTCGGATAGGCGGCCCTCTCACCAATATACGCTAGTTCGCATTCTCCATCGACCTCTATTTCGCAGCCTGTGAATGAGAACAGGGACGTCTTCGTGTTTGTGAAGACGTACCACTTGTCATTGACCATCTCGGCACCCTTCACCTCCGCTAGTCCCCGAACCACCCTTGTCCTGTACCTGTGGTGCTCTCCCGCCTCAATTCGGTATTCCCTGTTTCTTGGGATCTCCACCCTCTGCTCTGATTTCGTCTCAACCATGGGCACCAAAACAGCCCAAAAATAGTATTGACGGGATTCGAACCCGCGACCACAATGTGATTAGAGCTTGAACCTAACGCCTTAGACCGCTCGGCCACAATACTGAAAAATTGAGCATAGTCGCCTATAAGCAGCCACAACCAAAAAGCAGTCAAATTTTATCCCATAGACACTTCTAGGAGCGATCTGGAAACCAAATTCCACAATTTGTCGAAATTCAGGGACCGAAACTCCCGTGGCCTCGCAAAGGTGCTCTTTTCTGGAAGCGAGCTGATCTACTGCCCACTGCCAGGAAAGGGCGTCTCTGCCTACGTCGATCTCTCTCACTTCGTCGAGAGACTCCAAGACGGCCATTGCGTCATCTTCAGCAACTGTGACAGCCTCAGGGACAAATTGGCCAGAAACTTCTCTGGCTTGCGCCGTGGCCTGACATTTGTCCAAAGCGGAATGCAGGAGAGCGAGCTGTCTGCGATCAAACAGGTCGTCGACGACCAGGAGCGCCTTCTGTTTGTGATCAAAGACGACTTCTACGGCCCCATCTCCAAGGAGGCAGACGAGCTCTTTGATTCCATCTCCAATTCGGTGATCAAAGCTGAATTCACCCTGAATCCAGTCCGCTACTTCAACGAATCTGCTTCGACACCGTCAAAATGCTCCCTTGGCCACGACAACTTGAACTTCTACGGTGGATTTGCTGAAGAGAGGAAGATTGTGATTTATCAGGCTGAACGAGTTGAGAAGAACGAGAGGGCATTCCGAATCAGCAGTGGGGAGACTGTGACTCTCTTCAGCGTAAAAAAGGGTAGTTCCAAGGCAGGAGAGCTCCTTCAAAGCGGCCTATTTGATTTCATCCATTTTGGTAAGAGATTTGATAAGACCGTTGAAACTGGGTTCATCAGTGCCCGTCTCCTGGAATTCTTCAGGCTTCTGAAGGAGATGGAGAGTCGCGAGGTCTTCGTCTACGCCACTGAGGCAGAGATGCGGATTCTGTGGCAGATTCTGAAGCACAGGGTCGAAGGCACCTTCGATTCCACGCAATGGCGAATCACGGCCGGAACATTCAAAAACTACAAGGACATCAAGGTGAATCTGGTGCTGACCAGCAGCGTATCACAGCTTCACAGACTGGGTCGCCAGGCCAAGGTGATCCTCTTCTCGCGTGTCTACGTCCATCTCAGGGCCCAGCTCTTTCTGATGCTCTCTCCTGATCAGAAAGACGAATTGGATCAATTTTGTTCGTATGAGCATAAACTGGCAGAGGGGCAGCAGAAGAAGCAGGACGTCCTCAGTCGCCTGAAATGCATTCTGGTTGACACCGATGGCTTCAGCAACAACTGCTTCTTCTGCAGTGACAGCGAGGTGGTCCAGTTCTACGCCTTCGTTGAGGAGACGAAGCAGGCTCTTCTCAGGAGTCCCCTTGTTGAAGGCGTCGAACTGTTCAACAACAACTTCTTTGTCACGGCCAGAACCAGTTCCAGGTGCGCCGTAAAGAGCGTATTTGGAGCATGTCGGTTTCCAGTTGAGTACCCTGTGAGACCAGCCGTGTTGAATGCGACTGTTCTGACTGATTCAGTTGAAATTGGTACAGTTGTGAACTACTACCAATTTATAGGCGGAATGAAGTTTGAAGTGGAAGTGGAAAGTGATGGCAGTAACAGTAATAATAGTAATAAGGGTAGTAATAAGGATGATAGTAATAAGGGTAGTAATAATTACGATAATAGTAATAACAACGACAACTACGATAGTGACATATCTGACTACCGAATCAATCTGCTATCATCCAACAACCATAGCAAACCGTGTTCAAAATTCATCACCGAATTCTCATCAAATGAAATCACAATCTTCTTCAGAAACTACATGATCCAAATCAGAAGGAGCTCAGTGGAGAAGATCATCGCAGAATACGACCGAATCGATGCAGATGGACACGTCGACGTCTACGTCCTCCTGAAGACACTTCCTCGCGTCTATTCCTGCCAGGATGTGAAATATGCGACAGTTTGCATGAAATACCAAAATATGGCACAGCTGAAGCTGGCGAGATGGGACCGATGCACGAGGGAGGAGATCGACTGGTTCGAGAGACGCGGAGACATCAAATTCACGGTGCAACTCGACCAGAGCGGAGTTGGATCCGCCCCAAACGAGGTCAACTTCGTGGACGTATCCCCCTCGTCCGTCCTGGAGCACCTCGTTGCCCAATTGGCCAAGTTCTATCCCGTGGTCCACTACAGCGAGGTCAGGGAGCCACGAGACTCCTCGCTCTCCTTCCTGGACTCGTCCCAGATCGTCGCCTACTTCACGGCCCTCCTCGACTTCGCCTCCCTCTACCACGTCCTCGTCCTGGTCTCCTGGAAGGCCCGCTTCCTCACGGACGTCTTCACCGAAGGAGACCTCGCCTACATCGCAGACAACACGGACGTAGGCGACTTCTGCCGCCACCTCGAAAGACGCCTCTCTCACCGCCTCGATAAAATCAACCTCAGAAAGGCAGTGGTCGAATTCAGGCAGATTCGACCAAATCGATTCCGCCCCAAAAGAGACCATTCGACCACAGTTGAAATCCGATCTGTTCTGGTCACGCCCCTTCGCACCTTCTACAACTGGGAGCAGCCAAACGACACCAACCGCGTTCTCAGGAACTTCGAGCCAGACCGCTTCCTGCGCGTCTCGCTGCGAGAGGACGAGGACACGAAGTTCCAGAACGACCTGGCCAGGGGGCAGGAGGCCGTCTACGACTTCTTCAGGCGCACTCTCCTCGATGGGATGTTTGTTGGCCCCAGAAAGTACTTCTTTCTGGTGATGACTGCTGCCCAGATGAGTGCCCACAATGCCTGGTTCATATCGACGCTGATTGCAGGCAGACGGGTCATAGGCGCCGATTACGTCAGAGGGTGGCTGGGTGACTTCAGGAAGATCAAGAACATTGGGAAGTATGCGGTGCGAATTGGACAGGCATTCAGTGCCACGAAGGAGGCCGTTGGGGTTGACAGGGTCGTTGTTCTTGGAGACGTGGTCAGAAATGGATACGTCTTCACTGATGGGGCTGGAGTAATCACGCGTCAGCTTGGAAGAGGCATTGCCGAGTCACTTGGGCTGAATTACGTGCCATCTGCCTATCAAATACGATTTGGTGGTGCTAAGGGGGTGGTAACAGTACAGCCAGATGAAGTGGTAGAGAAGATACTGGTAGAGGGTAATAGTAGTAATAGTAGTAACAATAGTAGTAAGGGTGATAATAATAGTAGTAAGGATAATAGTAATAGTAGTAAGG